TTTTTTTTTTTTTTTTAGTTGTTTGGTAAGATTGTGCCACTAAGAAACCAAAGGATTTCTTAAACTGAAATTATACTGTCTGGTTGGCTCCAGTTACATTTATTATCCTTCTGTCTTTCATTCCAGGCAAATGGCATTAAAATTGGCCCTCAGCATGCTGCTACTAACGCCACGCACGCAGGCAGTCAGGGAGGACAGCAGGCCGGGGGAGGCTGCTGTTGAGTCTGTTTTTACTGTCTCGCTGCCCAGAAGGGGCTACTCACCTATTCTTTCACCCTCCTGCTCAGCTGAGACATGAAACTCTTCGAAATGGCTTTATGTCACAGAAGACGACTTTAATCCTTCAAATTCTTGTATAACTTTGAATAAATGGTTAATGTTCACTTAAAAAGACAGATTTTGGAGATTGTATTCATATCTATTTGCATTTGATTTCTAGGTCAATTGACGTGATTATTTTTGTTAAATGTTGTCTTGTGCTCTTACCTACGAACTGAATTGTATTGAACACTACAGAATCATCCTGAGTATTTTAAATCGGTTTGTGTAGTTAGGTTTCCCCACACCTGTGGTTACCTAATGTTTAATATTATAGAACTGTCCTCAAAAGTTTGTCAATTTTCAAGGCTATAAGGAAAACCGAAGGACTCTTTTAATTCCGTATTTATCATTTACTTTCTGTATATATAGTTTATAACCTGCTTGGGTGTAATTTGCCAAGCTTGAATTCTTTAATGCATTTGCATAAATTCTATACTGTTTAGAGCTTACAGCTACAGAAGCATCGTTAGGAATTGCTTGGACACTGAATTTTAAACTTTTTGACATTGTTAACAAGCATGTTCATCTTTTTCTTGTCACTAGTCCGAGAGAAATATGCTTAATGTACATTCTAAAGGCTCTGTATGTGTTAACCTGTTTTAATGCCAAAAGTTTGCTGTTTGTCCACAGTTTCTTTAAGACCTCTTCAGAAAAGGATTTGTTTGCCTTAATGCATACTGTTGGGTAAAAACACAGTATAATGAGTGAGGTGGGCGGAAGAAAGAACTCCCTCTGCCTGAGCGACTCCAGGAGGAATGAGTGTCCACATTTAGACGGCACATTATGAGGACTTTAATCTTTCCTTGAACACAATAATGTTTTCTTTTTCTTTTATTCACATGATTTCTAAATATATTTTTCACGCAGGACAGTTTTTCAACCTTGATGTACAGTGACTGTAAAATTTTTCTTTCCGTGGCAACCTATAATCTTTAAAATATGGTGAGCATCTTGTCTGTTTTGAAGGCGATATGACAATAAACCTACCAGATGGAAAATCCTGTTAAAAGTAGAAAAGCTTTAGTAATTTGCTCAGTGTGGTGGTTTTAACCTTCTTTTTCTTTTTCTCCCTTGGACTTTAATGAAATTGTTACAGCAGTGCAAAATAAAATCCTATGTATAAAAGTGTTCTTTTTTTTTTTATGACCACATCATTTTTTAAGAATGCAGTTTTTCAGTCCATCCACAGCTTTTACATGTATTAAAGCACATTTTTTTTTAAGGGTCAGGATGTTTAACACTACCCTTTTTAAAAATTTTGCTAGAATGTGATAAAAATCTTTTTACCGTATTGAAATTCTTTTTGTTATTGATGATGTCAGCAAGTATTTTAAGTATGAAACTAACTACTTTCAATCCACTCACCGACTTCAGCTTTCTGCCAGTCTTTCCTGAAGATTCAGCAGTGCTCTGTCAAAGCTTTGACATTACTCCTGTGGGGAGTCACCCAGTGCTGAGTTTTTTGCTTTAACTATAGCTCCTAGAGGACAGAGGGAAAGGTGAGGGGAAATCGAGTATCCTGAGTATTTTTATTATGAACTTTTTTTTCTTTAAAGTGGTCTTATCAAATTCACTTCTCATTCGTGGTGAGTAGGACAAGTTAAGACAACTAGGACTTGTTCTGCTCTGTACCAGGAAGAGGATGATTCTTTGGGAACTGTTACTTTGTTTTTGTTTTTGTTTTTTTTTGCGGTACGCGGGCCTCTCACTGCTGCGGCCTCTCCCGTTGCGGAGCACAGGCTCCGGACGCGCAGGCTCAGCGGCCATGGCTCACGGGCCCAGCCGCTCCACTGCACGTGGGATCCTCCCGGATCGGGGCACAAACCCGCGTCCCCTGCATCGGCAGGCGGACTCCCAACCACTGTGCCACCAGGGAAGCCCTGGGAACTGTTATTTTTCCAGAAACTTAATGTGTTTCTTTTCCATGCTGTCTCCTCTAATTCTTTTATAAATCAAGTGTAAGAAGAGAAAGTCATGGGAAAAACAAACAACAACAAAGCACATGTATTTTAATAACCTAAGAAGAGCTGGAGCCCTCAAATGCAGCCCCTGCACAGCAGCCTTAACCTGCCTCAGCGTTGGGCCACAGGGGCGGGTAGAGGACTTCTGCGTAGTTGTCACCACTTTCTCTACAAGTTTCACCTGCCCTTAAGGAACATATGTGATGAATCCTTTACGTCAGTCGACAAAGCAGTGTTACCATCTGGTTTCTACTCTGCTGTTTTATTATCCTTGTCACAAATAATGTAATAGTGGCACCTGGAACTAAACGCTTTAATACTGTAATTAAGTCTTTAAATGGTCTTTGGTCAGTTTTGGTAGCACCTATGGACATGTTTTAAGAGCTAGAAAATCAGTCACAAAAAATAAATAAAACTTGTAATGTCTCAACATGTAACATTCCAAAGTTGTAAATCTTCATAAATATCGTGTTATAATTTGCCTTCTGGATTTAACAAAACTGGATTAAGACCAAATTTTTGGACGAGTAGTGTATAATTAGATACACAATTCAAACACTACATGAGAGTGAAACTATATCTTCCTACACAGTTTATTTTTAATTTTTTATTGAAGTATAGTTGATTTACAGTATTGTGTTATAGTTTCAGGTGTACAGCAAAGTGATTTGGTTATATATGTATACATCTATGTTCTTTTTAAATTCTTTTCCATTATAGGTTATGTTTTTAATTTTAAAAGAGCCTATTAACAGGAAAATAGTCCCTATTTCTAGTAGTTCTAATAGTCAAGAGAGTAGGAATATATATGATACCAAAATGTGTCTAATCTCTCAAATTATTTGTGTTTGGAACACATTAAACATTTATTCCCTCATAGGTAGTGAAGCTCCATCTAAGCTCAGTACTAAGGTTGGCAGCACAGGGTTTGACTATGTGAGCTAAAAATTAATACCACAAAAACCCATAATAATGCAAAAAGGTAACCCTGTTCCATAATAAATAATTGACTATACAAATGCATGAACATATGTACCTGTGTTTCCTGGAAAGAGTTCACATGTGCTTCAGTGTTCAAATGAGAATAGAGCCTAACCCCACAAGTAGAGTATCTCATGTTGCATTGGTATATACTGGATAACACTACTTACTTGGTTGAAATGATGGGAAACTTTAAGGTGCATGTGTATATATTCAGTGTTCATTAGGTTTAGAAAATCATCAGGCCAGCTCTTAAAAATTGAAGGACAAAGGACCAAAAACCTGATAGGAAACATGGAAGAAGACAGTTCACCAAAAAATGAAGTAAAAGTGTCCCTAAAATAGGTTTTAAAATTCAGACAGTTAGAAATGCAAATTAAAACTGAGATGCCGTTTCTCAACTATGATATTGGAAGAAGTTTAATACCAGTGTGACAACACATTCTGTTGGTGAAAATGTCTCATATGTGCAGACTGATACTAGCTTTCTGGAGAGGAACTCAACAATACCTAATAGAACCAGGAGATGCTTACCTGTTGACCCAGCCTTCCCACTTCTAGGAAAATACCCTGATGATACCCTCCAACAATGCGAAAGCACATGTGCACAAGGTTGCTCACTGCAGCATTGGCTGTAATTGCAAAATAATTGAAAATGACCTCAATGTCTTTACATAGGAGAGTGATTCAGTAAGCTGGTACGTCACACAGTGTAGTCCTACACGGGTGTAAAAAGTCTGTGGAAGAGCTCTGTGTACTGATGTCATGATTTCCAGGATATATTGTTAAGCAGAATGAGAAAAGCAAAATGCAAGCATGTCTACAGTTTACCATCGCTCATTTAATAAGGAAGGCAGGAGACGAAAATATACATGTATCTGCTCACCTGTGCAAAAGAAACACAAGAATAATAAACTAGAAACTAATGAGACTGGTTACCTACAGGTGGTGAGTACAGAGTGGAAAGAAAGGCGAATCGGGACGAGTAGCACCTTTCAATATACAGTTTGGTTTAACTCAAAACTACAGTAATGTTTCACATACTCTGAAAATAATTAAAATCAACCATGGTGTGCCGGGAACTCAAAATGAAATAAAAACTAATGAGAACCTACCTATAGTATTAAAAAGTGACATTACCACACTGCACAGTTCTGTGGAATTCTTGCGCAAAATGTATAACGTCGACCTAGTCATTGGGAAACCTCAGACGAACCCAAATTGAGGAAAATCCTACAAAGTAAGTGGCCAGTGCTCTTCAAAAATACCAAGGTTGTGAAAGATAAAGAATAAGGCACACAGATTGGGTAAAGAATAAGGCACACAGACGTGATAGCTGAATGTAATGTGGGGTGCTGGATGGGTCCTGGAGGCAGTTTTGATGAGGGAGGGGCACACGTGGGGGCTTCTCTGGTACATGTTCTGTTTCTTGACCTAAATGGGGGTTACACAGATACTTGCTTTATAATCCTTTAAACTGGGCCTATGTGTTGTATGTACTTTGTTGTAAATTAAGATTTTGTCTCCATCGATCAAAAATGCTGCCTTATGAGTTGCCCTCAGAACTTGAATATGTGAACTCTACCCTATCCCCTTTTCGTGGATTGAACTGTGCTCCCCACCAGCCCCCCAAAAAATACGTATGCTGAAGTTCTAAGCCCTCGTACCTCAGAATTTGTCTTTATTTGGAAACAAGACAGTTGCAGATGTAATGAGTTAAGATGGAGTCATACAGGAGCAGGGCCGGTGTCCTTATCAGAAGACGGCCATGTGAAGACACACACAGGGAGAAGGCCACGTGGACGAGGCAGCCTCAAACCCGGGAGCCCCCGAGATGGCCAGCAAACCGCCAGCCGCTAGGATGAGTCCTCCACGGGTTTCAGGGATTACACCCCTGCCGACCTCTTGACTTCTGGTGTCGAGCCTCCAGAACGGTGGAAGAAGAATTTCCTGCTGTTTCAAGTCACCCAGTCAGTGGCACTTTGTTACGGCCACCCTAGGAAATTAGCACATACCTTACATCCTATGAATGAAGACATTTTTTGATAGGTTGTCTGTGTCCCTTCAGTGAAAGGTCATGTTGAAGCCGTGGGTTTATGGGAGAGTAACAGCTGCTTCACTGCGTAGCACATGGAGAAATCATCGTGAGAGAAGCAAAGTTAATCTCTAGGAATAGTTTTACATCTTCCTGCTTCAGAGTAATTTAATTTACACATCTAGATGCTATTCAGAATATGAAGCATTTTTGTACATAGGAATTTCATGAAAAATCATAGATACAGCACAGGACTTTGCTTATATGACATTAAAGATAGCATTTTTAATGTTACTTAAGCCCAGAATTCAGTTTAAAATTGAAACATGTCAGTGTGTACAAGTGTGATCTTACGATGATTATGATGCTGACAGTGAAAGTGGAGATGTTAACACAAGTTCAGCAATGACATCCTGTTGTGAAAGTAAGGAAGTAAAAACAAAAAGTAGGCGCAAGCTGACCAAGAGGGGTTGTTTTGAGACTGAGATCCTGAAATCATTTTTTTAAATTTATTTATTTATTTATTTTTGGCTGCGTTGGGTCTTCGTTGCTGCGCGTGGGATTTCTCTAGTTGTGGCGAGCGGGGGCTACTCTTCATTGTGGTGCGCAGGCTTCTCATTGCAGTGGCTTCTCTTGTTGCAGAGCCCGGGCTCTAGGCACGTGGGCTTCAGTACTTGTGGCACGCAGGCTCGGTAGCTGTGGCGCATGGGCTCAGTTGCTCTGCGGCATGTGGGATCTTCCCAGGCCAGGGCTCGAACCCATGTCCCCTGCATTGGCAGGCGGATTCTCAACCACTGCGCCACCAGGGAAGCCCCTGGAATCATTTTTGATCATCTGAATATTGCTAACAAGGTACAGAGCATCGAGAACAAGAGTGAAGGCAACTAGCTGGTGGGTGAGATAGTCACCAGGGAGAAGGCCCCTGCAGTCTTATACTTGACAGTTAATTTTGCATTAAAATTGCCACATTCCAGTCCCCAGGAGCTGCTGCACAGAATTCACATTTACAAGAACGTGGAAGCTGGCTGCAGTCGGCCCTCCGCCGTGTCTTGTCACGTGCACTTCTGCGTGAGTTGGGCGCAGCCGGGACAAAGTATCCATACTTCATTTCAGACTTTTACCTCAAGCAGGTGCTGATTTGTGTTTAAGCACTAAAGTTTAACATCCTCTGTGCAATTCGAATTATGAAAGCATTTGCTAAGGGCTGTAATCAGAGGTGGCTCTGTCAGGGGCTGTGGCCACAAAGCTGTCTGTTCCTGGGACCCGTCCTATGGAAAATTACCATCTCCAAGGACCATGATTTATTCCATGGGACCAGCCATTACATGATGGGTGAAGCATTTATGCAACTAATG